TTCAGTCCCACTAAGTGCAAATTCATGAAGATTGGTGAAGGGCAAAGAAGACCGCAGACAGAGCACAGTCTAGGGGGCCAAAGACTACAAACCTTGCTCAAGGAAAAGGATCTTGGAGTGAGTATAATAACGACCACATATCCTGAGGCGCACATCAACCAGATAACTGCTGCAGCATATGGGCGCCTAGCAAACCCAAGAATAGCATTCCGGCCTCTCAGAAAGGAATCGTTCAGGACCCTGTACGCCAGGACCATATTGGAGTATGCAGAGCCAATTTGGAACCCACACCTGGCCAAGCACATCAGGAAATTAGAGAAAGTGCAAAGGTTTACAACAAGGCTAGTTCCGGAGCTAAAGGGCATGTCGTACGAGGAGAGGTTAAGAAAAATCGATCTGACGATACTGGAGAACAGGAGAGATAGGGAGGATATGATAACGACTTATAAAATACTGAGAGGAATCGACAAGGTGGACAGGGACAGGATGTTCCAGAAATGGGACACAGCAACATGGGGTCACAATTGAAAGTTTAAGACTCAGCTGAGCCACAGGGATGTTAGGAACTATTCCTTCAGTCACAGAGTTGTCAGAAAGCAGAATAGTCTGGGAAGTGTAGTGGAGGCAGGATCCATACATAGCTTTAAGGAAGAGGTATGATAACGTTCATGGATCAGGAAGTGTGACCTAGTAGCGACCAGTGAAGAGGCGGGGCTATGAGCTGTGGATCGACCCCTGCAATCACAATTAGGTGAGTAAACACGCATACACACGCACGTACAAATACACACATCACAAACTACAGACAACAGGTCAAGTGCCTATCGACAAATACCTTTGACAACTGGTAACTAACATAGCAGGGCCTGGAGCTATGACTCGACTCCCTGCAACCACAATTATATGAGTGCACACACAGAACACACACCACAAGCAACAAACGACAGGCCAAGTTTCTATCGACAAGTGTCGTTGACAAACTGGTAACTAACACAATCAGCATTCTAATTTCCTTACGCTGTGTCTAGCTAATTCCAGTGTCAATTTGCTATTGCATGTCACCTCACAGTGTCATGCTACATCACTCCATGTCACGTCAAACGGCACTCTCTGTTGTCACGCTACGATGTCACACCATGACGTCACACCACGACGTCACCATAACATCACACCATGATGCTACACCGTAGCAGCTCCCACACTCAAGTTCTCTGCTGACCTCATGATCCATCGTTCACAGTCGTCCGTGTTATGTGTATCAGTGTTACCTTGTTATATAATTGTTAGCGATTTATAATATTTTACCGTAATCTCTGGAAAAAATCAACATAAAATGTTGAAGTGTTACTGTTGCTCGGTCCTGTGAGTACTATGGGTCACATGTTATGGCCTCTCAGTTAGTGCTCCATTCCGCTTTTCTTGTACCCACATATGCTGTTAATAAAGTGCCTTAGTGTCCATTTTTGCACAGAGGTGCAGCATTTTGGTCGTGCAAACCACCTTGAAACCACAATACTCCATGTTTAGTCGTGGATGAGCTAGACGTTTTGCTGTATGGTCTGTTCCTAGACTAATGTAACACGTTCCTCAGGGTTACAGTCACACCCTGAGGTAACCACTTGTCTACTGACATTCTATAGTCACTCCTGGCATCAGATGTATGAGTCAACCAAGCATCCTGTACAGAAACAAATTTTGCTTGCCGGCTCCGATTTCGACTCACTACCTGAGTCGTCTCGCCTATGACTCTTCCATGCAGTGACATTCTTTGGCAGTAACCACCTCGACCAGCATCGCTGAAGGCAATTTCGCTTGAGTCGTCCTTACGGCTCACTAGTCAAAGTCATCTTCACAATGCATCACTCTCCGGCACCACTAGGTCATGCCGCCGTATGAACAATACTACCACGACTACCCTGTCACAGATACAGTCAAGGACCTTGCATGGCTACCCCACTCAGCCACAGAGATGTCTCCTGGCGTGTCACACAGTCTGCAGGCTCTCATTTCCGCAATGTCCCACTCGCTGGCACCATCAGGTTGTGCCGCTGCTAGAGCAATCCTGCAGATATTACCCTGGTGACTGCCTTGCTTCACTTTTCTAGTCGAGGACCCTGCATGGCTACTCCACTCAGCCGCACCGATATCTCCTGAAGTGTCACACAGTCTGCAGGTGCAGTTCAAGTTTAGCATCTTCCTCCAGCCAAAGTTCCTGCTTGGTATGGCGCCCTGCCGTGGCTCAATACTCAGCCCACACCATTTTTGGGACACCCCCTTTTCTTTCTTACTATCCACGCCAGTGCTCTGCTACTTACGAGAGTTTTATCCATCATCTCTCACGGTTGGAACAACTGTATGTAGCATACCCGAGCAATATAACCTCTGTATGGCATTGCATTTCGCGCCATGACACCCTAGGCTTTGTGCTGCCATCTGTTGGGCCGGGTTCAATCTAGAGCCCAGCCCACCAGACCCTGTATCTCCCTCACTAACTCGACAGACCCAGAGAAGGCAAGACCTCCCCCACCCCAACTCTCTTTCACAAGTCTTTGACCGAGCTTGGGGCTTGCACCAACACACTGCCTATGTCATACAACCAAATAAACCCAAGGCTCACCTTCGAAGACTATTATTCCACCAGAAACCCAGCTTTTCTGGATATGCATTTCCTTTGCTTTAAATTAGATTTGGCTTTGTGAGGTTACAAAACTTGTTAACACATATTTAACTAGAGTTGTGATAATTACAAAAGAAGGCCACTGTAAATATGATCAAGAAAAAATATTCTATATTACCTTATATCTAACCTTATTATGTATCCACAGTTCAAATATACGTATTGCATAATATACTGTTACTTCAAAGTGGAAAAAACTTTTACATAAATGAGTACTACTTTTAAGTGATTGTAGTGGTAGCTGTAGTATCCCTTGTAGTTAGTACTGGTGGCTAATGGTTACTAGTCAAAACTCTGATGGTGTAATTAAATCAATGGTATACAGTACTAGCAAGTTGATGAATAAGATACATACACAACACCTACATAGGTATCTTTAGTTGAGAGACGCTTAGTCCATCGTAGGCTTTATCACTCGGTCACAGAATATCAAAGAAAATACATAATAGAGTGGACAAATAATAATAGTAATAGTAGTAGTAGTAGTGACATTAGCTTACCTGTTCACTACTACTGTGGCTGCTTCTCATACTGTCTCCTTTTTAATGTCTCTGAAGTAGATTTATAAAGCCCTGGTGAGTGAAATAAGCATGTCCAGGTGTTCACATGTCTTATTCATCAACTATGTTGGTGAATTTTGGCAATTATGGAAGCATTGATGGTGTAGTGTTGGCCCTAGTAGTGAGTGGTGATGGCTCTGCAGGGAAAACTGTTGGTGACTTTGTTGATCATTGGTGGTGATCACTGCAAGAGACTGAGCTGAAAACTCAAATAGTGACTTAGCTGGTGACTAGCTGTGAATGTAGTGGTAGTGATGGCACTGAAGTTGTTTGTAGTGGTAATTAGTGGAAGCTGGGAGAGGAATTGTGACAGTGAGGAGGGTACTGGTGGAGACTTTCTAACAGTTTACTCAGTAAACTTTGATGAATTGTTCATTCCAATTGCTGGAGATGCTAATTTTGCTTTTACAAATTTCTACATTTTATAATCATTCCGGACCTTTACCTCAGGTAGCAAATGCTTATTTTGTGTCGTGTTTGACATGTTATATATAATCCACCGTCGACCAGCTTTAATTATGTAAAATTATTATATTCATGAGATGTGCCATAAGGCTGCCATAGTGAAGAGCTCTGTTCCACAAGGCACAGTACTCGCCCCCATCTTATTCCCATCCTCATATCAGACATAGACAGAGATATATACATCACAGCACCGTATCATCCTTGCGGATGACACTAGGATCTGCATAAGGCTGTCATCTGCTGAGAACGCGGTTAACCTCCAAGAAGATATAAACAAAGTTTTCCAGTGGTCAACGGAAAACAATATGATGTTGAATGAGGACAAATTCCAACTACTCCATTATTGAAAACTGGAGGAGATAATAACTAGAACAGAGTATACTACAAACTCTGGTCATACAACAGAGCGGAAAAAATAATGTAAGGAACCTAGGAGTAGTAATGTCTGAGGATCTCTCTTTCAAGGATCACAACAGTGCCACTATCACAAGTGCAAAGAAAATGATAGGATGGATAATGAGAACATTCAGAACGAGAGATGCCAAGCCAATGATGATCCTTTTCAAATCACTTGTTCTCTCTAGGCTGGAATACTGCTGTACATTAACATCTCCATTCAAAGCAGATGAAATTGCAGATCTAGAGAGTGTACAGAGATCCTTTACTGCACGTATAAGTTCTGTCAAGCACCTTAACTACTGGGAACGCTTGGAAGCACTTGACTTGTACTCGCTGGAACGCAGGAGAGATATATCATAATCTACACTTGGAAAATCCTGGAAGGAATGGTCCCGAATCTGCATACACAGATCACTCCCTACGAAAGTAAAAGACTGGGCAGGCGATGCAAAATACCCCCAATTAAAAGTAGGGGCGCCATTGGTACACTAAGACAAAACACCATGAGTGTCCGGGGCCCAAGACTGTTCAACAGCCTCCCATCAAGAATTAGGGGAATTACCAATAAACCCCTGGCTGCCTTCAAGAGAGAGCTGGACAAATACCTAAAGTCAGTGCCGGATCAGCCGGGCTGTGGCTCGTACGTTGGACTACGTGCGGCCAGCAGTAACAGCCTGGTTGATCAGGCCCTGATCCACCGGGAGGACTGGTCATGGACCGGGCCGCGGGGGCGTTGATCCCCGGAATAATCTCCAGGTAACCTCCAGGTGCTAATCCATAGGGGCCATACAACATTTTGGGAACGAGAGGAGAGCAGTTCAGTTCCTCGTGTCAAGAGCCGCTCACCAGTATCAAAGCACCTCCCGTGATGGAAGCTTGCTTATTAATATGTCGGAGACGAGAGACAAAGTTATTCCCATAAATAACATCCCCAGCGGCAGGTTCCAGATTTATAACTCTGCTATTCTCTTAAGACGATGAATCGACAGAATCTTACAACACTACACAATGGTGGAGGCATCAGTGGTCCGCCCTGCGGTCCAGGAGTCCCCAGTCACACACCAGAGACTGCGGAGTTGGGTAGTGCGACGCGCTCCTTCCCTCTGTCCAACAGTCTGGTGTTTTGTTTAACTCTGCTCTCTCACAGACTCTTCCAGATCTTTCCTCACTGGAGGGAATCATGAGTGTGTCATCGCTCTCTGCTGCTCTCGGGCTCTTAGTTACTGCAGTAGTTGCCCAACTACCTTTTACCACTATCCCAACAATTTCCGACGAAATAAAAGGAAATGCATTGACTGGAGAAGCAGCATCGTTCATCCGCCTGTGGGAGTACGCCCTGGAGAAAGACGGTCAGGGACCCGCACCAGTCAACAGAATTAATTTTGGTAAGTTAGTGACAAACGTTTTGTTTCGTAGTTAGCAGAATATTAAAGAAATACATGCTTTAAAAGAGTGCCTTGACGGCGGCAAAGAGCTCCCCTTACCTTGGATCAAACCTGATTGCCTCCCAATCCTCAAGTGCTATAGATACCTATAAGTTCTGCCATGACAATAGTGAAAGCGTAGAGTAGAATTTTCATGTTTTCGGTTTCCTGAATGGCTGAGTCATTTCCCAAGTCATTCATCCGGCAAACTACATGAAATATCCGGTACGTGGGACTCAGGATATTTGCACTTTCATTGTATAATAATTCATACGTCATAAAACAAACAAAAGAGGTAATGAAGGTGAAAGTATACAGTATCTTTGATGGGCTAGTCATTCTGGTCTGGTGGTAAGTAATGACACAACCCCACCACTGTTTTCTTACAATGTTTTCCCCAAATAACCTCAAGGAGGCACCTTTTTTTACAAGATCGTCCCCCGAGCATGCAAGTAACTGTGAGAAATCGCGTGTATATTTATATGACTGGCTATTTACTTGATTGAAAGTCTATCGACTACACGAGGGCCATTATGGTTGCTTACACCAATACAATAAATGTATAGACACTGATTCAAACCACCTGGAGTGTACGCCATTGTATATATGTACGGGCATTTATTTTTGTTGAGAGGGTATTATATGTTGCATATATACACAAAAGTACATTTCTTAGTCATCATTTATTGAATGCAGTAGCAAGCGCGGAATGTACGTACATCTATATTTTTGTGTTTCAGGGAATAACGCTTATGCTCGTTATTGTGAATCTTTAATAATTTTCTAGAATGCAACACTAACGCACGCTTGTACACACAAATGCTGATCACTGCCTAGTACCACCGGCTCTGGAGCATAGACCTAATTCATGCGAGTCTTGGCTTGGTGTGTATAGTACTGCGTACTTTGTTCTCAAGGTCGTAGGTCTCAGCTTTCTGATGTTATTAACGAGCACACACACACACACACACACACACACACACACACACACACACACACACACACACACACACACACACACAGAATAGGTAAAACTGGTCAGTTAGCAAAAGCTCATTTAAAATTAAGTCTTGTAAAATGTTCTCTTATATATTTAAAAATATTTTTTTTTATTTATATTAATGTAAAAATTAATATTTTTTTTACGAAAAAAAATAGAAAACTTAACTAACCTTATTATAACAAGCGCAATTTAATTTAACCTAATTCAACTAAATATATTTTAGACAAGTTTACAATAGTTTAATAATAAACAAACATAATGAAACATTTGTATCGTTAGGTTCAGAATGATTTTTGCGAAATTATTGCATACACAAAATTTCGCTTGCCTTGTTCGGCAAGAAGAACGTTGCTATTTAAACCAAAATTGCAAGTTTTTACCTATTCGGCACGACATATAATCCACATGGTGACTAACAAAAAATAATTGGTTTGTATATTCCGATCCCCTACTAGGGTCCTCTTCAGCAGATACTTGAATGAAAGTAACATCAATTTAAAAGAAAGTTGCGCTTCTCAACCGTGCAGGTGAACATGGAGCATCAGATAAATGCTTGGGAAGACAGGTCACGGAGTATAATGACGGGTCTTGAAGTAGATGACTGGCAAGAAGCTTAAAATTTAGGCAAGAAGTTCCTCTGTGCTGTGTAATTCCTGGTCTTGTGCTGCCGTTCAGTGGGATGTTGCAATTAGGGGTGGTAGCTATATTTTGCGTTTGTAGCTGTAGGTGACAGTGTCATGTGGGTTTTCGATACGTGGATGGGGTAAGAATACTCACGTAGGCTGGTAGTACGTATAATATAACGGAAGGTATGGGGAAGCACCAACAGCCGACCTGTCTCTCTCTGCTGGCTAACTACAACTGACCCATAGTGCCTACAGGTGAGGGTGTTTGAAATCCTGCTATGGTCAGCAGCAATATGAATACAGTCAGTGATTCACGCAGAGACGGTTGGTAGTGAGTCATCTACTGGTACACTGGTTACTGGTAACTGGTTACTAGGAACTGGTACTACTACTGAGAGCTCGGCGACGCTAACGTATGTCGTCCCGACATACAACTAATACAAACTAGAGACGGCAGGTGTACGGCTTGGGCTGATTCTATACAATGGTGGATTTAGAGATCTTGTACAAGGTACACAAATTTTCAAGAATCTCGTTACAGAATTCATTTCCATTATCTGTTACTAGGGACTTAGGGGTGGTATGCCTGCAGATAATGCGTTCTTTAAACGCTTTAGCTACTGTCTCGGCAGTCTTATCTGCAACAGGAACTAACTCACAATATCTGGTGAAATGGTCTACCATAACACATTGTTGTTTGTTGCCTTGGAGGGAACATTGGAAATTAGTTAACAAATCTAGCGCAACTCTTTCCCATGGTTCGCTAGTGGTTGGATACACTTGGATGGGATTAGGGCCATTAGCATTACCTTTATGTTGCATGCAGACACTACATTTCTTAACATACTCAGAAATATCATTTGCCATACGAGGCCAAAAGTATTTCAATCTGGCTTGTTTTACTGAACGATCCATACCAGGGTGTGCAACACCTGGTACATCGTGAACTAGCTGTAAGGCTACATTCACTAGTGACTGTGGAATTACTAACTGGTAAACTCTTCTGCTAGGAGTACCCAACTGGCTGCTCGATACAGTAATTCTTGGTTCATGACAAAGTCACTGATGGGTGCTGGTGGCTTCACAGTCAGAATAAGATCTTCCTGGAGCAGGAATCGAATCACACCAGACAACATGGGATCTGTTCCTTGAGCATTCTTTACATCTTCATCACTAAATGGAGGGTCTGCAGTTACTATACTAACATGTGCGATAAGGCATCTGCGACTACATTGACTGCCAGGTAATGTTCAAAGGTGGGATTGAACTCTTGGATAGTCAAGGTCCATCTGGCTAACCTTCAGTAGGTTGTTTGTTCTGGAATAAAGGTATCAGTGGAGCGTGGTCTGTCAAGACATGAACAGAGTACTGATAAATAATGTCTCGGAAGTGCTTTAAAGACCATACTATTGCTAAAGCTTCTTGCTCAGTTACTGTATAATTACGTTCAGCCTTCATAAGGACTCGGCTAGCAAATGCAACTGCATTCTACTTGCCATCGGTCTTCTGAGCTAGTACGGCACCTATGCCAATAGAACTAGCATCAGTAGTCAGATAGAAGGGCTTAGAAAAATCTGGAAATTTCAAAATTGGGGCAGATGTTAGCTTCTCTTTTAAAGTTTGGAATGCTCTTTCTTGACGGAAGGTCCAAACAAAAGGAACATCTTTCTTAAGCAACTCAGTAAGGAGCACTATGGAAGAAAAATTGGCAATGAAAGGATCTATAAAAACCTGCTAAGCCCACAAAGGATCTTACGGCATCAGCAGTTTTGGGAGTTGGAAAATTTAGTACTGCAGTTACTTTACTTTGGTCAGTCGTAACCCCTCTAGGAGTGACTACGTGACCAAGAAACTTAATTTCTGATCTGAAAAATTGACATTTAGACAGTTTTGATCTTTTAAATTGGCTTCTTCAAGCTTACCAGGTATCTACATCAAGTCTTTTCAAGTGTGTATCCACGTCTTTAGACATGACGATTACGTCATCTAAGTGCACCATAAGTGCATTACCTATGAGACCTCTAAAGATATTAGTCATGAGCCTTGAGAACGTGATAATGGGAGGATCGTAATCCAAACGCCATACGGAGGAAGTGATAATGACCTGTAGGAGTGGAGAATGCAGTTAGCTCTTGGCTGTCCTCGTGAAGAGGGACTTGCCAAAACCCTTGTAATAAATCCAGGGTTGAAAAGACTTTGTTATCTCCGATGTTACGTAAGAGATCACCCAGTACAGGGAGTGGAAAGCGATCTGGAATAGTTTTCGCATTTAACTTCCTAAAGTCAATCACTGGGCGCCAAGTACCATCCTTCTTAGGTACTAGGATCAAGGGCGCATTCCAAGGTGAATTGCTAGGTGCAATAACTCCATCATCAAGCATTTGATTGATCAATTCTTCTGCGACAGCAACTTGTGAATGAGGCATTCTGTACGCAGGTATATAGATAGGTCTAGTACCAGGTTCAAGTGGAATACGATGGGACAATAAGTTCGTTATACCCATCTTCTCACCTGGTAAGGCAATGGCTTTACGACGTTTGTTCAACAGAGTCAACAAACGCTTGACTTCATCTGGGAAGTCAGTGGGAGCTAAGTCTTTCTCCTCAACTGGTGGAACAGATTGATCCAGTGAAGTGGATGAGGTCTCCCTAGTGGTAGCTATATTTTGCGTTTGTAGCTGTAGGTGACAGTTTCCCAACTGTAAAGCAGTTGGGAGTCGATAAAATTACTGTTATGATCACTATTATGTATGCAGAAGATTGAGACACTTATGCAACATATGGGAATCTTTACTGAAGAAACGTTTCGCCACACAGTGGCTTCATCAGTCCATCAGTATTGGACTGATGAAGCCACTGTGTGGCGAAACGTTTCTTCAGTAAAGATTCCCATATGTTGCACAAGTGTCTCAATCTTCAAGTTGTTGGTTTTAAACCATTTGTCATATCATGTATGTGACGAATGCAGTATTGTGTGTGTTACTGCCCGTTAATGTCTTTTGTGTACATACATGCAATTCTCTAGGTTTCCCGTTTCTCTCACGCGAATTGTTTTCACGGGGTTCGATCCCCTATAAGGGTGAAAACATTAGGCATGTTTCCTTAAGACACCTGCTGTCGCTGTTCACCCATCAATAAGTAGGTACCTGGCTGTTAGCTGACTGGTGTGGGTCGCATTCTCGGGACAACCACTGTGAAAAAAGTAGCGAAATTTGGAAGAATTTAAGGTACATTAGACAAATTTTTGAGTAGAATATAAGCTGTGTTTCACGGATCACTGACTACCTACCTATATCATTATGAAGGCCCTGCCTAGTATGGGCCAACAGGCC